GAGCTCCCTGCTGCACCCTGCACCCCTGTGCACCCCAACCTCCTGCCCTGAGCCCCCTGCCGCACCCCGCACTCCTCCTGCACCCCAACCCCCTGCCCTGAGCCTCCTCCCACAGTCTGCACCCCTCCTGCACCCCTGCCCTGAGCCCCCTCATACACTCCGCACCCCTCCTCCGCCCCAATCCCTTGCCCTGAGCCCCTTCCTGCACCCCGCACCCCCTCCTGCACCCCGCACTCCCTCACGCACCCCAACCCCCTGCCCTGACCCTGCATACAATTTCCCCACCCAGATGTGGCCCTCAGCCCAAAAAGTTTGCCCACCCCTGTGCTAGGGGCTTGGGAATCTTCTTCTTCTTTCGTATGGCTTTTTTAGGTAGCAACAATTACAAATGTATATCTAAGTTTGATAGCCAGCACATTCACCAGCTCACTGCTGCAGCAATGTCCTTCAGGCCCCCGACAAAGGAACAAAGGGGACATTCAGATATGCAGGGCCGGCTCCAAGGTTTTTGCCGCCCCAAGCAGCCAAAAAAAAAAAAAAGCAGCGATCGGGATCGGTGGCAGCTCTACTGCCGCCGCTTCATTCTTCGGTGGCAATTCGGCGGCAGGTCCTTCCCTCCGAGAGGGAGTGAGGGACCCGCCGCCGAAGAGCCGGACATGCCGCCCCCTTCCATGTGCCGCCCCAAGCACCAGCTTGCTACGCTGGTGCCTGGAGCCGGCCCTACAGATATGATGTGCTCCATCGTTTGTGCCTAGTGATCACAGTCGCATACAGGTGTTTGCCTCATTTTCCATTTAAAGAGGGTTTGTCCACATCTTCCATGAGATGTCCTGATGCGATTCAATCTGCACCAGTCTTTCCGACATAAATCAAAACCCGGGGGCTTGGGAATAAAAGGGGGTGTTAGTATAATGAGTGTTACTTATGGTGAGAGGCTGTCTAAAAGAGAAGACTTTGCGATACTTCCTAAAGACTGTCAAATTCTGCATTTGCCTGATCTCCTCTGGAAGTTTGTTCCCTAGTTGGATCCCCTCAACCACGAATGCTCTATCCTCAGCTCTCATGCACTTTGCCCTGGGCTTTGTCGTCTCCATTGCTCCAGAGGAGTGTAGCTATCACAATGTGTCATCGATCAAAATTCGGTCTTATGCAGCTGGGGCTTGACCTGTTACTTGCTTTGAAAATTAGGACTGGGAGCCTGTGGAGGAACTTAAGCACAGATCTGATGGGCTCATGGCAGCCCAAGCCATGGAGTAGATAGGCAGCCGCATTCAGTACCAGTTGTAGCCTGTGTATCATCTCCACATTTTAGGTGAGTTACAGTAAAGTGCAATGAGTTACAGTAATCCAGCCTGGAGAGGACAAATGCCTGGATCACTGTGGCCAGGTCCTCACCCAGGAGGAAGGGACAAAGTTTCCCATGAAGCTGAAGGTGAAATAAAGCATTTTTGAAAACTCATGCTACCTGGTCATCCAAGCTTGGTGAGGAGTCAACTTTTAGAGCAGAGATTGCATGTCACTGTTTGTTTGGACAGTGCCTAGCACAGTCTGGATGATTTCATAATGCCAATAAGAATTACTACTACTACATGTCCATGTGTGATTTGGAGGTGAGGGAGTTCTTAAGTCACAGCCCACCATGGGATCTTGCTGCGGGAGAAGTGGAGCCTGGTGATGGGGTCTATGCATATTTTCCAAAAGTAAGAAAAGTTTTACAAGGAACAGTTGTCCAAATAAGCTGAGGCTGTGGAGGCTGCTGTTGTCAGCTGAGTTTTAGGACTTGTATCATGTATCATGCAGGTGAGTATGTGTCACAGGTCTTCCTCCGCTCCCAATCTGCAGAGGAAATGAGTCTCTAACAGTCCTGGTTCGACAGCTTTGAGTCTTCAGCTCCAGCAGTAGCAGCTCATGCTTTTAGCTGTGGTTCAGGCCCTGGTGTGTTGGCCAAGATGGTGGCCATCACAATAGCACTTCACAAGCATTAACTGCTTAATTGCCATAATCCCTCTGTGAGCTAAGTAAATATCATTATCCCTCTCTCCGCTGTGGAAGGGATAGGGAATCACATAGAGGTCAAGGACAATGTATTCCAATTTGAGTGTATAAATCTAGGTACTTAAATCCGTACTTAGGTCCCCAAAAGGAAAGTGACTTGCTGCCAGAGGTGTAGAGTACCTGCAGTTCCCTTTGAAGTCAATGAGATCTGCAGGCATTCAGCATCTCTGGCTTTGGGTGTCTAACTTTAGGCAGACTTGTTAGGAAAAAAAATTGGCCTTTGTGAGTCCGCATTGGATGTGAGCCCATTCTTAATATGGTACTTGAACCCAGGACATTTCAGGCCTCGAATGGTTCCAGATAAGCTGTACTCTCCGTGACACTGAATGCGGAAACCAGAGTGCCTGTGTCACTAACAGGAGAATCATTTCTAAAATTATTAATGAGAAACACCTTGAGGAAAGGTTTTGGTTATTTAAGTGCTGTCCAGCCAAGTTGGGCCTGTTCTGTGAATAAACAGAAGGCTTCGTTTCTCGGTCTGGTTACTATGATGCTTCTCCTGAGCATTAAACTGGGGAGGGGGAGATTAGATGTTTGCTTCATGAGGAGTTCAAATATCAATCTCTAGGACAATGTAATGACCATTAAGCCGTTTGATATTATGATTCAGTATTTGTGAATCAGTAGCCCCTGAAGTCCCCAGTCAGTGCTCAGGGCCTCATTGTGCTGTGTGCGATCCGGTCCCAAGTGAAAATTTAGTCTCTGCCCTAGAGCGTTCACACTCTGGGATTACGACATGGGGTTGGAATGCAGAGAAGGGTGTGGAAGGGTGAGATACCTGTGTGCCGAGCCTATTTGCATAAAAATCAGTAGTTCCAGTCAGCCATTTCCCCAGCCACTTCCAGAGAACAGTATTTTGGAGTCGTCCTGGCAGAGGAAAACGTTAGAGCAGGGGTCGGCAACCTTTCAGAAGTGGTGTGCCGAGTCTTCATTTATTCACTCTAATTTAAGGTTTTGCGTGCCGGTAATACATTTTACCGTTTTTAGAAGGTATCTCTCTATAAGTCTATAAACTATTGTTGTATGTAAAGTAAATAAGTTTTGTAAAATGTTTAAGAAGCTTCATTTAAAATTAAATTAAAATGCAGATCTTATCAGTTTTGTGCAGTGGTTCTTAACCTGGGGTGCACGCACCCCCTGGGGCAAGGCCAGTGCAAGGATATTTTGCTCCCTAGGCGAAACTTCCACCTCCCCCCCCCTTGCACATGGGTTCATTGAGGGGCAAATCCCAACGAGCCTTTATAGACCCCAGGGGCCAGCTGTGCCATGGGGCTGTTCCCCAAACCAGGTTCCCCCCTCCCTGCCCCCTGAACTCCCCTTGAGGGTGCACAGCGCCCCCGCGAGCCCTCCCCACCCCACCTGGTGGCCCCCGCCCCAAGTCCACTCACTGGCTTTGCCGGGCTTGGGCCGCTGCAGCAGCTTGGCAGGGAGAAGCCGCCTTCCGGAGGCACCGGAGAGCCTAGGGTTACCATATTTCAACAATCAAAAGAGAGGACGGGGGGGGAGAGCCCCACCCCCATCCACTCCCTCCCACTTCCCACCCCCTGACTGCCCCCCTCAAAATTCCCAACCCCCCCCACCGCTCCTTGTCCCCTGACTGCCCCCTCCTGGGACCCCTGCCCCTAACTGCCCCCCAGAACCCCACCCCCTACCTAAGCCTCCCTGTTCCTTGTCCCCTGACTGCCCCCTCCTGAGACCCCCCCCCCC